AAAACCCAGATGGGATTTTGATTAGAATTATGAATTTGAGGGCAAATGTCTGTCTTGCTAAGAGTGAATCTTTTTACCCAGGGATACTGTATAGCTCGCTCTCTACTAATTCAGACCTTTTAAAAGTAACTTTTTTACATATAGGTCTTGCCCTTTTCCTGTCACACTTATATTTCACAATGTATAGTGTATTTGTACATGTTTTTGTTGTCTTTGTTAAAGGAGATTTTTTTCTCATTCTATTTCTGATTGGTAGGAACTAATTTTGGGAAGTTATCTGGTGATTGATTGATTGTCCCAGTAGACTCTCAGAGGTTTTGTGCGGATAGTAACACGGCCTTCTTCCAGGCAGTAGACACTTTGAGCTGTGTTCCCATCTCTCCCACTCCCCTGGCCTCTGCCTTCCCAGGTACTGGGCCTGCCCCTGGCGGTACAGGCTCCTACAGCACCAGCTCCTTCTCAGCCACGGTAACTGGTCTAGACCCCTTAACTGAACCCAGATAGCCAGGCTCTTCCTTCAGAATTTGTCCTTGGGAGTGAGTGAGCCTGCCCCTGGCCGTGGCTGACTTCCCTGTCCTGAGCAGGGCAGTAGTGGCGTTTGCCATCATCTGTATGTGTGAAGATGGTCTAGCAAGAGGGCTGGGGATGGGTCAGGCAGGTGCTCCGTGAGAGATGGAGAAAAGGGATTCCTGGGTTTCCCATGGCATTCCAGGTCCTTGCCTGGGCCTCAGGGTGCTCTGCCATCTGCCACGCCTGGCACAGAAGGACACCAGGCCACCCTCCACTGTCCTCTGCTGCAGTCATCAGTCTCTCCATCTCTGGAGCCCTTGTGCACAATGCTTCACGATTTGGTAAAATACACACCTTCATTCAAAGCAAGTCATTAAGGAAATCCTGTGGTGGGGGTGGGGGTGAGGTCACTGATACCTCTTTTCTTAAAAATGCTCCAAATATGAATCCACCTTCTGGAGCAGTGGGAAATTCCATTAAGCCAATAAGGCAAGTGATATTATAGTGAATGCCTATCCAGTCGGGGCTTAACTTTGGCCGTGGCTGACTTCCCTGTCCTGAGCAGGGCAGTAGTGGCGTTTGCCATCATCTGTATGGGTGAAGATGGTCTAGCAAGAGGGCTGGGGATGGGTCAGGCAGGTGCTCCGTGAGAGATGGAGAAAAGGGATTCCTGGGTTTCCCATGGCATTCCAGGTCCTTGCCTGGGCCTCAGGGTGCTCTGCCATCTGCCACGCCTGGCACAGAAGGACACCAGGCCACCCTCCACTGTCCTCTGCTGCAGTCATCAGTCTCTCCATCTCTGGAGCCCTTGTGCACAATGCTTCACGATTTGGTAAAATACACACCTTCATTCAAAGCAAGTCATTAAGGAAATCCTGTGGTGGGGGTGGGGGTGAGGTCACTGATACCTCTTTTCTTAAAAATGCTCCAAATATGAATCCACCTTCTGGAGCAGTGGGAAATTCCATTAAGCCAATAAGGCAAGTGATATTATAGTGAATGCCTATCCAGTCGGGGCTTAACTTTTTTTTTTTTGGTGGCTGGCTGGTACAGGGATCTGAACATGTGACCTTGGTGTTACCAGCACTACACTTTCCCAAGCGAGCTAACTGGCCAGTACCTAAATTTGATTATGATATTTTCATCTATTTCTCTGCATGTTAGTAAGTTTTTTGGGGGGTGGGGTGGGGGGTGGGACAGCTGTCTGGTACGGGGATCTGAACCCATGACCTTGGTGTTATAAGGCTGCACTCTAACCAGCTGAGCTAACCAGCCAGCCCTGGGTTAAACTCTTTGTAAGTCAGAATTAAATGAAATAATGTATGTGCTCATGGCCCATAGTAAGTGCTCAGCAAAAGCTGGCTATTCCTGTTACTATCAGGGATGCCTTTTCTGCAGGCTCGTCTCTATTAGCCAGTGTCTTGCCTGGATCCTTTCTCTGCCCAAAAGCTGGCTATTCCTGTTACTATCAGGGATGCCTTTTCTGCAGGCTCGTCTCTATTAGCCGGTGTCTTGCCTGGATCCTTTCTCTGCTCAGTTTTGTGCCCTGAGAGGCGACCCCTTCCAGCTGTCCTGTGGGGCTCTCCTGCCTGCTGGCTTCCTCTTGGGTTTGGTAGTGGAAGTTCTGGGCAGGGGGACAGAGAGGTTGGGGTGTTTCTTTCCCCCACCCCCACCTCAGCTCCACACCTCTGGCTGCAGCTGCATCCCCCATCACCTCAGATTCCGCAGGTAGCCCTTGCCCCATGGCT